AACACAGCAGGCCAAGCAGCATCATAGGAGCAGGAAGGCTGACGTTTTGGGCCTAAACCTCTAGGCCCGAAACGTCAGCCTTCCTGCTCCAACCGAGTAATTGGCCATTCACATCACGATGGGAACTTGTGGTTTGCAAATTCACTTCCATGTTTGACTATGTTCGCAACATTATCACTGTTTCAAAAAGGATCCATTTGCCATGGAGGGGCTAAGGATAGGAGAGGTGTTCCATAAATGCAACTTCCGACTCTCTCAATTGTATCAGAGGTGCAGACATCGAATGTTAATGTTCCTCTCCTGTTAGTAAGCTCAGAAACAAGCACTAAAAAACTTGCATTTAGATAGCAACTGTTACAACCTCTCGACTTCTCACAATACCTGGCAGTTCAATGCGGTACACTGAAATGGTGCCACAGTTATATTGAAGTTATTTGTAGCATCCTGGAACTGCCATCCTACTCAAGATCGAATGGGTCAGTATCTTACGGATATTGACCTTTCTAGCTGATATCTACATGGGATAGCCCACTCGCTCACAAAACCCACACCAGGACAATAAATGGCTTGGCGAACACTCTGAGCTCGGTACTTACTTTGACAACAGGATGACACAGTTCTGAGCCCTTCGTCCATCGATCACCGATAGCTCCTTCACTTTCCTCATCGTGAGGTACAGATCCTCGGTGGAGCCGAGCTCTTTCTGCGGATGTGTCGGGTTTAGGGGGTGGGGGGGAAGGTGGGGTGCGGGGGAGGGTGGATGGGGAGTTGGAAAGTAAAATGAAATACCATTCCATCAGCCAAACTTTTCAAAAGTTATCCGGGAGTCAGCTCAGTGAAATTCAGTGCTTAAACAGGTCGTGATTTCTCACTGGTAATGTGAATGGGTTGCACACTCACCTGTTCTGAGAGGTTAGTGTGAGGGTTAGGGAACAGGTCCTGCGCAGCAAAAGTCGCCCAGAAGCATAGAAAATGTAAACATGCAAAGGTGAGTTAGTATTCGGCAGTAAGCAGCTAAGCAGGCAATGTGTTGTAAAAGTACAAACTAATGTCTATCAAATCTTTATCTTAAGTGATTCCTTAGCGGCACATAACTTTATACCAAGCCACCAACTATGATCCACCTCTACCCTATGGTTCACTTTCACTGGTCAAGCAATGGAGGCAAGTGAGTAACAAGTACAACTTGTCTCAGTGACAGGTACAACTCTTCAATGTGGATTTTATTGTGCGGCAAGTAATGTATAATGCACTACCTGAGACTAATAATAACCACTCATCAAACTCTTTCTGATAGCCACCTCAATTTTAATACTAAAGAAGGACCTAGGACCAGACTGTCTGATTGGCTCATCAATTCGATACAGAATGTCACAGTTTAGAAATTACTGTCGGCAATATTAACAGACTGACATGCACCTTTCTCCAGTGCCACTCACTTCTCTGCCCTTACGCTCAAAAACCCACCAACACAGATCGGTACCTGTGTTTAAATTGCAGACCATGGAAGCAACTGTTAATGAACCAAATAAAAACTGAAAGAACTGCGGATGCTGTAAATCAGGAGCAAAAACAGAAGTTGCTGGAAAAGCTCAGCAGGTCTGGCAGCATCTGTGAAGAGAAATCAGTGTTAATGTTTCAGGTCAGGTGAGCTTTTCCAGCAACTTATGTCTTTGTTGTTCTTGTTGTTAATGAACCAAAGTCATTTTCTAGCAACAAAAACAGAAACATACAATCCCTACAGTGTGGAAACCGGCCCTTTGGCCCAACAAGTCCGCACTGACCATTGGAGTATCCCACCCAGACCCATTCCCTTACAACCCACCTAAGCTACACATCCCTGAACACTATGGGCAATTTAGCCTGGCCAATCCACCTAGCCTACACATCTTTGGACTGTGGGAGGAAACCGGAGCACCCCAGAGGAAATCCACGCAGACACAGGGAGAATATGCAAAGTCCACACAGACAGTTGCTCACGGGTGGCATCAAATCTAGGTCCCTAGTGCTGTGAGGCAGCAGTGCTAACCAATGAACCACCGTGCCGCCCCCCAAATTGCTGGAAATTGCTGGAGAAACTCAGTAGGTCTGGCAGCATTTGTGGGGAGAAAACAGAGTGGACAGATGCTGCTAGATGAACTTTCCCAACAATTTCTGTTTCTGTTTCTGATTTACAGCGTATGCAGTTCTTTCATTTTTTTATGTAGCTAGGGAAAGGTTGATACATACGCTGAAGCAGGGGTAAAGGGAGGGGAAGGAGTAAATAATAGGTGGAGATCGACCCCAGAGAGAGAGAGAGAAAAACAGTTGGTCAGACAAGGGAATGGGTAAATGTGAAGAGCTGCTAATAGGGACCATTAGTAGTTGACAATGGGTTGTTTGTGGTAGCAGCCCAAGTAATAACAGGGCCTGCTGTGTGGAGGTTGGTGTAAGGACAAGGGAGAAAGTACTCAGCCTTTAAAATTATTGAATTCGGTATTACCATTTCTAGGTTTGGATTTCATTCAACGGAGGGCACTTGTTGCCTCTTGCGGTTAGGATGAAATCAGCAACTTTTATTGTCACTCTTAATTCTAGGAGGAAGGGAGATCCCGAGCAACACTGAAATTTCACTGCCATTCTCCGCAAAGCACTGCAAAATTGAGGAATTAAGCACGTGAGTAAAAGCTGTCATGTAGGGGCACCAAGCATAGCTCTGTCTCGAAAACTCGGGAGACTTAGAGAAATGTCCACTTTGAGGCTCAAGCATTCCTCAGCTCAACAATAAAACAAAGGCATGCAGGTGCTGGAGATCTGAAACAAAAGAACGGAAATTGCTGGAGAAACTCAATCGGTCTGGCAGCATCTGTGGGGAGTAAACAGAGGGAACGTTTCGTGCCTGGTGACTCTCCTTCAGAACTGAATGCAGCTGGGAAGAAGTGGCATTGTCATTTTTATGGACCCCGAACTTACAGTTGCCTGCCACTCCCATACACCACCACGTTCCCACGTCAACATTTCTGTCACAGTCCTGCTGCAGTGATTTCACCCAGCCTCAGCACAAGCTCCAAGAACAACATCCCATTTTCCTCAAGGACCCTACATTCTCTCGGATTCAGCGTTGAGTTCAATAACTTTAGAGCCTGATTCCATGCTTCCATGATCTTTTAGCCACCGTCCCACCCAGTCCTGCAACAACATGGGTTGCTCACAGCACAGTCTCCCCATTCTCTCTCCTATTCTTCACCCTCACTTATTCAGCTTCTCTTCTGTCCTGGCTTACTAACCTTCTTGATTCTTTCATATCTCTCTCTCTCTCTCTCTCTGTGCCTGAGCTCCATCTCCAACCATCTGCTCATGTCTCTCCCCAGTAACCCAAACCAGCACCGCCATTAATTCACCCACACCACCCATCCAATCCGGTCTTCACTACAAATATCATTTTTTGCCCTAGATCCAATCCAATCTGATGAACATAGAACATAGAACAGTACAGCACAGTACAGGGCCTTCGGCCCACATTGTTGCGCCAACCTGTTATTCTACTAAGATCAATCTACCCTGCATACCCTACATTTTACTATCCTCCATTTACCTGTCCAAGAGTCGCTTAAAAGTCTCTAAAATATCTGACTCCACTACCACCGCCGACAGCGCATTCCACACACCCACCACTCTCTGTGTGAAGAACCTACCTCTGACATCTCCCTTAGACCTTCCTCCAATCACCTTAAAATTATGCCCCCTCGTAATAATCATTTCCGCCCTGGGAAAAAGTCTCTGGCTATCCACTCTATCAATGCCCCTCATCATCTTGTACTCTCTATCAAGTCACCTCTCATCCTTCTTCACTCCAGTGAGAAAAGCCCTAGCTCCCTCAACCTTTCCTCATAAGACCTGCCCTCCAGTCCAGGCAGCATCCTGGTAAATCTCCTTTGCACCCTCTCTAAAGCTTCCACATCTTTCCTGTAATGAGGTGACCAGAACTGAACACAGTATTCCAAGTGGGGCCTAACTAGAGTGTGGTCTAACCAATGAAGGGTCTTCAGACTCGAAACTCCACTTTCTCTCCATGGGTGCTGCCAGACCTGCTGAGTTTCTCCAGCAACTCCTGCCTTTTTTGTTGTTTCAGGTTTGCTCAGCTCCAAGTGAGTGCAGCTCCATGCGAGGTAGCTGATTCCTTCAGTTCTCTCCCTGTTGGACTCGTCATTGGGCTGCCTCGTCATTGTTCTACAGCACGGCACGGCACGGCACGAAGGAAGGTCTCCACATTGAAAAAACAACACCAGACTGGGTGGTGAAGCCAAGCCAAGTCTGTGAGGTTGGCCACACACTGTCAATCCTGCCAATTTCCACAGTGACAGGAAAAAAAAATTGGAAAGGGTTGTTGAATGTCCAGGGCGATTGAGTTTAAGAGCCGCGAGGTTATGCTGCAGCTCTACGAAACCCTGGTTAGACCACACTTGGAATACTGTGTTCAGTTCTGGTCGCCTCATTATAGGAGGGAAGTGGAAGCTGTAGAGACAGTGCAGAGGAGATTTACCAGGATGCTGCCTGGACTGGAGGGCAGGTCTTATGAGGAAAGGTTGAGGGAGCTAGGGCTTTTTTCATTGGAGCGAAGAAGGATGAGAGGTGACTTGATAGAGGTGTACAAGATGATGAGAGGCATAGATAGAGCGGATAGTCAGAGACTTTTTCCCAGGGTGGAAATGACTATCACGAGGGGGCATAATTTTAAGGTGATTGGAGGGAGGTCTAGGGGAGATGTCAGAGGTAGGTTCTTCACACAGAGAGTGGTGGGTGTGTGGTAGTGGAGTCAGATACATTAGGGACATTTAAGCGATTCTTGGATAGACACATGGATGATAGTAAGATGAAAGGTATGCAGGGTTAGTTTAATCTTAGTAGGATAATAGGTCGGTACAACATCATGGGCTGAAGGGCCTGTACAGTGCTGTACTGTTCTATGTTCTATGTCAACAGCTGCTCTCGCACTGGGTTCCTCTGACATTTTTTCTAAGAATGGGCATCAAAGAAAACTTTACACACGCAGTGTGGCACCTGGTCACCACACACACATGCAACAGCTTCATCTTGTCAACGTTGTCTTGGAAGAATATTATTTGCCAGGGAGTAAAGCTGGACCAAAGTGATTTGTCGGCCTGCAGGATCGTTTAGACAAGACTCCATGTAACACACAGCCTTATATGGGGATTGGAGTGTCGATAGTCAAAAGCAGGACCACACTCCAAAAGGAAAAAAAGGTTGTGGAATGAGCCATAGACACAGACTGAATGGATTTAATCTTTTAAAAGGTTGCCCTTTGAACATGCAAGTTTTAAAATATTGTGGGAGGCTTAACCTCCCCTCGCCCTCTACTCATTTAAAGGAGGGGAGGGATTTTTCGCTTTGAGGGCCTTATGCAATTGCTGAATGGTCAGTATGCCAAACTCGGAGCAAGCAAGCCAAATGCTTGGGTTTGATAAACCATTTTCATATACTTCACGCTGGCACATAAACAATATGTAAAAATGCAACGACAGATTTAGATTAACAGGCGTCAAGCCACTTCAGCTTTGCTCAAGGACCAAAACACTGTATTTCTTGCTTTATGTACACAAAGGCACAAGCATGTGTATAGAGTCATGAATCAAGGAGTAAAGTGGGAGAGAAGCAGTGGAAAGTGGTTGCCTTATATGGATCTTTCTGCCTGCACAGTAACAGACACCTGGAAGTGTGAAGCAACCAGACAACCCCCGTCCCTCAGGCGACTTTGCACAGAACCAAGACCCTCCGTCATCCTATTCCTAAAGATTTGGCTGTTGAAAGATCCGTGAGAACACTGTCATGCTTCCCCCCCAACCCACCGCCAGGACTGACAAATCCCCAGGGTTAGCCGCAAGGAAAATGTAACAATGGTGGTTTTTGAAACGGCAGGAAAGTTTTTGTCACTTTGGTCCCAAATCAGAAAACACGGAGGTGCAGGGGAAGAAGAAGGTGTGGGATCAGAATAGCGGAGGACAACTTTAGAATGGATCGACATTATTTGCCAGGCTGAAACCGTGCACGGTGCTTAAAAAATCAAAACAGGAGAGCTGCAAGTTTTGTGCTCTCGGAAGATGAGCTGAAAGGGCCTTTGCTATCCAAACCCCACGTATGACCCTGAAGTAAAGGACAGTTATGAGCAGAAAGCACATCTTTATTCACAGGCTTGGGTCAAGCGATATCTGTTTTCTCTCGGTAGGCTTTTCCAGTTAGCAATCGGGTGCACTGGAGCCTACTTAAAGTGGATCCTGCTCAAGGGAATGACTCATGTTTTTTTGGTCACAATATAACCTGGGGAATCCCTTGATTAAATCCTAACGAGAAAATTTGATCACAAGAGCTGGGAACTTCATCAGTCACTTTTAATACTTGGATCCCAGACGACTCCACCAACAGGAATGATTCAAAGCAAATCATAGCATAATACAGCAATGAAGGTCATTTGGCCTGTCGTGGCTTGGTCAGATATTTGAAACAGCCCTCTACACAGACATTCCACACGAGGAACTATTCTCTCTGAGTTTTATGACTGAATTTGTTCACTTCAGCCTTTGGGCTGCGTTTTCCCAATCAGAATAATTCTCCGTGAGAACTTTTCACTTCTAGTTCATTTGCTAATTGCCTCCAATTCAGCGCCTCTTGCTTAGTCACTGGAAACAAGTCAACTGAGTCACTTTAACAAAAACACCTCGTGATTTAATAAGCACAGACTGGATCAGCCTCCAGTCGCGTGAGATTCCTGACGTTTGCTACGTATCCCTTGCTCGATCCTACTGGCACAAGACTCACTATGGAGAAAGAGAAACCCTACCTGCTGCCTCTGGTAGGCCGAGAACATCTTCTCAAAATCTTCCAGATCAAGCCTGTTGAAGGCTCGGAGGTCATCTATCTCATTCCAGACGGTGCCTCTAATCCTGTCCTGTAACAATCCAGACCGCAGAAATATCAGTGAGGTTGTGATGACTATGCGTGGCCGAGATCACAGAGGTCAGGATATATCAAAACAATCAAAATACTGCTCTGGAATACAGGCACTGGTGCAGCTCACCATCCTAATATTACAGTGCAAATTATTATTACAATACATTATTGTCAAATTTCAAACCCATTTCAATTTCACAATTCAACAAGACAATTGAAAGTAAAATCCGAAAGAACAGCGGACGCTGTAAATCAGGAACAAAAACAGAAGTTGCTGGAAAAGTTCAGCAGCTCTGGCAGCATCTGTGAAGGAAGAAAATCAGAGTTAATGTTTTGGGCCTGGTAACCCTTCCTCAGAACTTCAATTGAAATGTCTGCATTCTTTTCCCTTCAAACAGAATGACGCATGGATATGGCGTCTCCAGAACATCATTTAGCTGTCAAGCAGTTTATTAGCTTTGCCACTGAAGATGGGAAGAGGTAATATTTTCACCTTGTAAGCTAGTTGTCCATAACCAATGAAGGCTTGAGAACTCAGGGAGATAAATATTGATGTCTAGTAAACAGTCCACATTGCAGAAGTAGTGCTGGAGGTCTTAAAAAACATAAAGGTGGATAAATCTCCAGGACCTGATCAAAAAGTATCCCACGATATTGTGGGAGGTTAGGAAGAAATTGTAGGGTCCCTAGCAGAGATATTTGTATCATCTACAGACATGGGTGAGGTGCAGGAGGACTGGAGGGTGGCTAATGTTGTGCCTTTATTTAGGAAAGGCTGTAAGGAGAAGCCTGGGAACTATAGAGCTGTGAGTCCGACATCAGTGGTGGGGAAGTTGCTGGAGGGGATTCTGAGAGACAGGATCTACATGCAATTGGAAAGGCAAGGACTGATTAGGGATAGTCAGCTTGGCTTTGTGTGTGAGAAAGAGTGTCTCACAAACTTGATTGAGTCTTTTTGAGGACGTTACCAAAAAGATCGATGAGGCAGGGCGGCAGATGTTGTCTACTTGGGCTTTAATGCAGGCTTTGACAAGGTTCCACATGGTAGACTGGTTAGTAAAGTTAGATCACATGGGATTCAGGGAGAGCTTGCCAACTTGATACAAAATTGGCTTGATGGTAGGAGACAGAGGGTGGTGGTGGAGGGTTGTTACTGGGACTGGAGGCCTGTGACCAGTGGTGATCTGCAAGGATCAGTGTTGGGTCCACTTTTGTTTGTCATTTATATAAATAATTTGCATGAGAATTTAGGAGACATGGTTAGTAAGCTTGCAGACAGCACCAAATTTGGTGGGATAGTCAACAGTGAAGAAGGTTACCTAAGATGACACAGGGGTCTTGATCAATTGGGCCAATGGGCTGAGGAGTGGCAGATGGAGTTTAATTTGAATAAATGCAAGAACTTTGGTAAAACAAATAGGGCAGGACTTATATGGTAGTTAACGGGGGAGTCCTGGGTACTGTTGTCAAACTGAAAGACCCGGGGGTTCAGATACACAGTTCCTTGAAATGTACATCACAGATAAACAGAGTGGTTAAGTAGCAATTTAGCATGCTTGCCTTCATTTATCAGTTCATTGAGCATTGGAGTTGGGAAATCCTGTTGAGGTTGTACAGGACGTAGGTGAGGCCACTTTTTTGAGTATTGTGTACAGTTCTGGTCGCACCACTATAGGAAGGATATTATTAAATTGGAGAGGGTTCAGAGAAGATTTACCATAATGTTGCCGGGAATGGACGGTTTGAGTTTTAAGGATAGGCTGGACAGGCTAGGTTTTCTTTCGCTGGAGTGCAGGAGGTTGAGGAGTAATCTTATAGAGGTTTATAAAATCGTGAGGAGCATAGAACAGCTGAATAGCAAAGGTCTTTTCCCTAGGGTGGGAGAGTTCAAAACCTGAGGGCATAATTTTAAGGTGAGAGGAGAAAGATTTAAAAGGGACCCGAGAGGCAACTTTTTCACACAGAGGGTGGTTCATATGTGGAATGAGCTGCCAGGGGAAGCAATAGATTCAGATACAGTTACAACATTTAAAAGACATTCGGATAGGTACATGAACAAGAAAGGTGTAGAGGGATATTGGCCAAACACAGGCAAATGAGACTAGTTTAGTTGGGGAAAGTTGGTTCGCATGGACTAGTTGGACCAAAGGGTCTGTTCCATGCTGTATGACTACAATATGCCTCAAAACTGAATGGACAGTTTGAAACAAAACTGGGTACACAGAATGGTCATGGGCCAAGAAAGAATTGAATCATTTTTGAGAAAGTCTCGGATCTAGATCCTAGATTTTTTTTGAAGCATCCATTAAAATTGGGAGATAGGGGAAATTGACTTCTCTTTCTGAACCTTCTAGATTTAGTTAGAATATTATTGATTGTTTAAAATGCTGTGGTGGAATTTGTCACAGCTGTCAAAATGTGAGCAGAGTTTTCTGAGCAAGTTGCTGGACGTGAATTGATCTGAAGCCTCCTCAGTGAGATGGAAGCTCTTCATCAGAAAAAAGAATATTTTTGCAACATTATGGTTACAGATTATCAACCAGGCAGGGAAAAGGCACACGTCTATGGGACAGCCAGAGTGCACAAATGTTATAATTTAAGTTTAACATCGAAGTGACACTGCAATGTGCTTGACAGAGTGTCCTCTTCATTGTTCCAATTGCATCCACAAAGGTAGTGGTGAATAGAATTTGACATAAGGATGCTAACTGTTTAAAGTCGTACCACCAAAGCCAGTTTCCAGTATACAGCATTGCTTTTTATATCACAGTATAAAGTATCACCAACTGGGTGACTTCCTAGCGAGTCCCATGGGGGTCAGGTTACCATGAAACTCCTGCCTTCTCAACCTCTCCCCTGGCCACCAGCCGTCTTTCGCTACTGAGATAGCAGCCCCATGGTCTGGTAGGACTACGGCAACTTTGGCCTTTCGCCTTCACAAGTATTGATAATTAGGATTATGGTTAGTGATGCCCCTCCACACTGGAAGTGGGAAGTTGCAATGCAGTCATAAACGCAAAGTTTGTTCACCGACAGAAGTCTGCATCATCATAAATCGGTCTCATCTCAGCAAGAGAGGGGATGAAATCAGCGAGATGCACAGAATAACGTGTTCAATACGTGTTAACAACCCTTTTGACAATGTCATGACTGGTTATTATCTTGGGTCAAACCACTGTGGCTACTGCGGGAAACTATACCCTCAGGTCCTGATAAATGCACAGCCACACAATGCCAAGACAAATGTTTTGCTTGGAGCAGGACAGCTAGAATTTGCAGACTAAAAGTAGCCCATTTATAAATTCCTGTCCCCACAGCTCATTTAATCATTCATACAGGCACTTCAATCTAAACAGAAACAGAATCAATTTTGAGGAAAGGGTGGTGGGGGAGGGGAGGGGAGGGAAATAAGGTTACACAGTAAGCTTGTGTTGTCTAAAATGAGGAATCTGGCAGGAGATCTAGCGATACTGAGTGAGCCGAATAATCGGTTTCTGGGATCCAGATTGCATTCCCGATGAAGCATGTTAAAACAGCTGGGAGTTTGTGCCTTGGAATTGTCAACAAAGGGCGTGAAAAGGATATGGGAAGGTGGGACGCTGGGAATCTATACAGTATAGTTAATTGTAGGAATGAAAGAGGGCTTTTAGCATTTTTAAAAGCACATCGCTCTGTATCAATGTGGTCGAGTGGGTAGTTTTGGTAGCGTTGAGTCAGATGTGTTCCCACGCCAGCGGCTTGACCACTTGACTAACACCCTGATGCAACATCATGGGAACACTATCGCATCAGAGGTGCCAACACTTGGAAAATGTAATGATGAGAATTGTTGGAGAAGGGTGGGGAGCCTATCACTGGCGTTCCAGCCCAAATTTACTCCTCAGTCACTGTCACAAAATCAGACCATCTGATCATAATGGCAAGTCTGTTTGTTCGATCTTCTCTTTGCGCAGATTCTCTCCTGCATTTCCTACGTTACAACGGAACCACATTTCAAAGGCCTTTCAATGATTGTAAAGTGCTCTGCACATCCTGGGGTTCACGAAAACCACTATGCGCAGATACAAGTTCCGCCCGTGTCTCTCAGACACAATGCTTTCCCTTAAGGTGACCATTCTCCATCAGTTAGCCCATGTTATAGCTGATCTGTGCACAAGATAGTCCCTTAAACAGCAACTGAATGAAAGACAAGTGGATCTATCTTTGTCTGCTTGAGACTGCATACCTTCCTGTCTTTAACCTCTGAAGTTTAACTCTGCAAAAGGCAGATGGAGGAGGCGTCTGTAGTAAGCTTTTACAGCTTTTAAGCAACAGCTCCAACAATGGAATATTCCATCGTTGCCATATCCAAGATTATGCCCTTGAGACAGAAATGCACCTTGAACATGCAGCTTTCTGATCCAGGGTCAAGAATCTCCCAATTGAGTCCACTCTTTATACTCTGCATCGGAAACAATTGACATGCTCAGAACATTGATCAGGGCAAATGTAATATGAACCTCAGGAAGAATACATCACCAGTACTGTTCTTAGTGGTTTTACGAATCGCTCACTATTATTTTGGGAAATGCTATCCTCATGTTGTAGCTGACTGTTGTGACTGTCTAACAATGTACTGGCGTAAGATTGTCAATATGTAACAGCATGCCAGTGTTCTGATCCAAAGGCAGCCCACTCTCACCTTCTCTACAGCAGTTAGGGATGGACAATAAATGGCGTGGCCTAGCCAGCGATGCTCACATTGCATGTTTAGACAGTAGCGGTGTGCAGGGACATGGGGAAGAGGCAGGAGATTGGTACCAGACAATATAACCGGTAGGTGTTTCACAATGGGCTGAATGGCCTCCTTCTGCAGCATAACAGTCCTGTGATTCTGTGATGTACAGATAAATCAAAAGAAGGTATGCAAATGTCGGTTCCTTGATATGATTATATTCCCATTACTCTCTGGCAATGAGATAGTGTGGCAATGCCACTGTTTGACTGTGAAACCCAGAC